TCTCTCTCTCTCTCTCTCTCTCTCTCTCTCATACAATAAACACTAAATGATTTCTATTTGATGCCATCCCATAGTGAATGTTATGTTCAAGTCGTGAGCTGTGTTTTCATCAAAAAACAGTTTCACTGCACGACAAGAGCGCAGCTATTATTAGATATGAGATATCTATAGATGTGTTGATGTGTTGTACTCATTATAGTCTCTCTCCTCGAAAATTATAATCCTTTTAAGAATTTTATTTATTTTATTAAAAATAAATATTTGGCATCTGATTTCGCCCGGACTAAAGCTGTCCTATTGATAAAACAAGTGAATAAAAAACAATTTTTTGCAATATTAATGAATAAAAAATTGCAATGCTTTTCAACTAATTTGATTTGATTTTGTCTATTTTATGTGAGTTATAATTTGCAGAAATTCTGGTAAATTATGGTAACATTTGTATTGCTTTTGTTGACCAGAGAGAGAATTTGTTATTCAAATGATTAACCTGGTTGTATTTCATTTCAAGAAAAGCAAATATTTCTAGAAAATTGGCATTATAATAATTAGATATTGTATCGCGATTTTATCGTAATCATAATGAATTCTAAATAGTAATAGACCATGATGTATTCAACAAAAGCAATTTAACTAATTATTGACAATTGTATTCCATATTTACAAACAATTGTTTATCTGTTGGGTTGCACGAGTAGAATAAGTCAATATTTTATAGTTAAGTGTATTTTTAAATAAATATAAATTATTATATGTATTATGATATGTCATATAACTATCAAATAGGAAATCAGTGCTTTCAGTCCTATACGTAATCTCTTCTTAAGATGTGTTTAGAAATGTTTATTCAATTCAAACATGTATTCAATGTATTGTTTATTATTATGGGTTAATAAATGTTACAATTTTAAGACTACAGCGTATTAGTGATAAAAGTTCATTAATTTTTTCGCTTAAACTTCTGCCTCTGTTTCGGTCTTTTGTTTTGATGTTTAGTTGTCTTATTTGTATTGTTCTTCGGCTCGAGTTTTGGTTTGTTTTTAGTTTTTGGTTTCTTCTTCTTTTTGGTCACAACCGGAACTCTTTCCGCACTTTCTTTCGGTTCACTCCTTTCGATCGCAACTATCGATTAAAATTAAATAAAATACTTATCATTCAATTAACCACTAAATCGACAATTGATCCAAACCTCCGACATCTTCTGTTTGCTGCGATCTATTGGTTTCTGTCTTATGTTTCGCACATTTGATGTTCAGTTCAGTTAAATAGTCGTCGAATGAATTGACGAGAATTGGTTTGGCCTTCAAATGCAA